TAAAAAATTTTATAAGATGAAATCCACTGTAGTTAAATTTTTTATTTAAACGTTAGATTTTTTTTATTATTTTTTTTTTTATGTCAAATTTAATTTTCATACAACAAACTGGTAAAGAAACATATTCATATTCAAAAACTCTCAAAGAAAAAATATCTAACATCACTTTATATGAAGAATTATATGATGCTCGATTTGATTTAAGAAAAGAAAGAAGAATTCGTCAAAATTAACAAGAAGAAATTCAATGTTTAAACAAGCAAATTAAAAAAATTGAAGAAGCTTATATTAATTCTGTTAAATGTCTTGAATGAATTATCGAAGAAAAGGATATTATTATTCAAAATACTGTCAATCAATATGAAAAGATTGGTGAAAATACTGTTAGACAGTATGAAGATAGATTGAATTTTTATATTAATTTTTCGTATAAAGTTTTAATTGTGCAAATGATTATTATTATATGAATTTTCAACCATATGATGAAGTAATTAATGAATTTATAAATAATGAATCTTTTATTTTTCAAACTGATGTGCTTAGTGTTATTAGTGATATTAATAATTCTGTTAATGAAAGTAATAGATTTAATAAATGTGAATCTAGTGATAGCGGTTATAGTAGTTATGATGAATACAAGGATTTAATGTGAGATATTAATGAAATGACTCAAAATAGTAAAAGAGAAGATAGTTTTTAATTTAAAGAATTATTGTATTATTTATATTATTTTAATATAATAAATATTTTAATTTTTTTTATTCATATTTCCAGTAATTTTATCATATTTTATTTTAAATTCTATTGCTTCTTGTTTTGGTTTAAAATATTTTCCTTTATGTTTATTATTTTCACTCTATTTAAAACACCAGCTATTATATTTATAAAAATAAATTCTATTGTAACCAGATGAATTATCTTTATGTAATTTATAATTTAATGTATTTTCTTTTGGTGTTGTTTCTTGCAAGTTTATTTCTCGATTATCAGATCCTTCTTGGTTAATATGGTCTATCATTTTCCATTCGGGATGTATCATTCGATGAAATTGAACTGTTTTATTTTGTTTTTTTGTTTTAATATAAAAATTATTTCTTTTTTTTTGAAAACACCAAGTATAGTTTTTAATAAGATTATAATATTTAATATCACAAAGAAAAGTGATTTCAGGTTTTTGTATTCGAACTTCATAATAAAGTTTATTATTAATCTTTACTATTCTATATTCATTAAGTTTTTTCTTGCATGTTTTTGTTTGTTCCATGT